TGCATTTCTGTGCAGTAGCTAATGCACCATTAATCTAGTACCTGTATTTTCCGGTACTAGCAAATGATGCATTAGCCTAATTTACTGCAGTAAATCCTGTACACATGTAGACAGTGACATTGTACTCCATATTAGATTAGTCTAATGTGAAGTAAAGCATCTTGTGTAGAAGTGCCCACTGTGTCTGAAAAAGTGGAATCATTTGTTATATACAACGGATTAAATCACTGATTCTTTCCATTCTACTGGTTTTTCCAAGGTTCTACTTCAGGATCCACTGAGTCAGAATACAAGGACTTGGGTCAATGTTAGTGAATTGTGACATAGGACTAGGGCAATGAAAAAGTCTTGCAAAATATAGCAGGAATCTAGATGTATATGATTCTTTTTAACACACCAACAATTCCTCTCAATACATATTTGTGTTGATGTATTATTTCTGACAAACCCATCAGAATAGGTGACAAAATAGAGATAGGGATTTAAGGCATTGCAGAAACTACTTGAAGACAAGATAAAAGAAAACTGCGTGCTCTTTGACACTCGCTTTTGACCACATTACATAAAAACAGCAAGAGAAAATTATCCAGATGTAATGTATATGCTAATCTAATCACAAAATACTTTGAATAGCTTACTGTTATACTCCACAATATATTTAGTAAAACTTTTATGTTAAGCTATTAAAACATTCAGCACCTATTTTTAGAGGCAGAATATTTGCAGTTTCACTCAAGTTAATGCATTCTGTTTTTTCCTACTGCATTTATAACAGATCTGGGTTTTAATGTTATTCCATCATTACTCACAAGGTCACCTTTAGTTTTCTTATGGTTAATATACTTTGTTATTTTCTTAGTAAAATACGCTAAACGTAATTAGGATTAAAGTTAGGTTAATAGGACTTTTTCTTCTTTTTTTCAAACCCACTTTCCCTTCAAAAGATATGTCAGTGGAAGGGAATTTACCTTTTCTGTTACTTTGACTTCTGTACTGTAACTTCATGATAAATAATACTATTTTGGTTTAATTTTGAGCAAGGATCCTGAATTTTGTATCAATTTTCTTTGTCTTCTCAAGATGGCCAGATATCCCCAATGCATGGGAATTCACTTTTTGACACCTGTGAAAAGGTACTGTAACCAGGTATTTTTAGGTCACTCATCACTGGAAGACTTGCTTATCTCTGGATAAAGGAAGAGAAAGGTGGTTATAAAGACCACCCTGGTATCACTTCCATTATCCCCCTTTTCCTCCAGAAGAGAATCATAGCTGTAGAACAAGACAATGACCTTTCTCTGTGAAGCACAGATATTTTCCCAGCTGCACTAAACTTAGTCTGGAGCACCAGAAAACACAAGAAAGAGGTAGACATATGTTTATGCTTAGGATATTATTATAAACCCTTTAAAACTATTGTCCATAGCTTGAGAATTGTGTTCTAGGCCACTGCTATTTTGCTAAGAATGTCAGAAAAAGTCCTGTAGGATGGAATAAAGTTCTATAGAAAACGTAGTTTGCTGCAGTAATGCATCCGAGACAAAAGATTCGGAGAGAAAAGCCTGTCCATTCTAAGCACTTATAATTTCCTTCACTGTTCCATTCATGTGGCTTGTATAACAATGCCATTAACTGTAGGGCTACTAATGAGCAAGATATGTCTATGAATTATCTGACTTTTTAAAATGCAGATATCTTTAAGCTAAAGGTCAGCAACTTGTGGCTCATAGGACAAATCTAACCCATGGGTGCACACACATCCAAACATAAGTTGACGGGGGAACTGGTAGCACCAGTGGTGAGGGCAATGGTGGCTCAGTTGAAAGCAGTGGTCAGTAGCACGCTTCACACTGCCACCCTACCCATCCCTGCTCTACTTCACATGCCCACGTACTGCATCCTCCACTTCTCTCATGCCAAAATATTCCTTGTTAGCAGTTGGCCCAGAGCTCAAACTTTACTACTTACGGTAGTGAGCTGTGCTAATTTGGTGTGCTGATCCTAAGTGGCTTCCAGTCCTTTCTATAGGGGATATATTTGATTACACATATTTTAAAACTTTTAAACAGAATTTCCTAAAAACAGAGGGTCCATACTTTTAAGTTCCTTGAGCTGAAATTTCTCAAACAATTCTAGTATTCTCATTGCTTTCATTTAAAAAGGGACAGTGATGATTCTAAAGACCAAGTCAAAATTAAATAGACAAGTATCATCATAAAAAGAATCATTCAAGATAAATTGACTAATAGCTTTCCTGTTTCTAGAGGTTTCTGCTATGATGGATAATTAGAACTCAAGTTGCATGGTCACAGAAACATAACAGGAAAATGCACCAAAAGTCGTCCAATTATTTCTTCAACTCTTCTGATTATTATCATATCAAAAGATTTTAGTCCAAAGTTTCCTTGTTGAAGAACCAGACAGAATAAATGGCTTTTAAACTTTGCTGAAGCTGGTCATCATAACTTTAATTCAGCCTAAAATTATATTGATCCCAAGTCTGCTACATAAATGGATGATGTGCCTAAGGAAGCTGCAGGCTCAATGACTATTTTTATGTAAGCTTTCAAATGTGGATACAAAGGGACAAGCTTTCCTGAAGAAACAAGAGCTTTTTAAGATCTGAGCTTCAGTGACCTGAAGGCCATGCACACATCCTCAGGGATGTTTTCATCTAAATAACATTGAAGGGGAACTATGTATTTCAAGAAAATGATACTTCAACCACAAATTACCAAATGGCTCCAGTTCTATTTGACTAACTGAATTTGAAGATGCTTGTTTTTTCCTAAATGAGAAATTCTTGGACATAAGTGGCAGAAAATAACTTATCTTTTAGACTGTACATCTCATAGGGCGTGTGTAGACGAAACGAGGGGCATGTGTGCACGATACTTTAAGGTGGTTTAAATGCTTTTGCATTGCTTTAATGGTGCTGGTGTTTGAACACATCAGTGGCATATTGCACTTTATTCCAGCTGCTATAGCATATTTAGTGGTGTAATGCACCTTAAATGACTTTGGGGTGTAGGAAACTAAAACACCTCTGAGGAATTTTACTTTGGTGCCCTACAGCCGTGGAGTGAAGCACTGGGCTCTGTGCAGCCTAGGGGCTGTGCAGGCAACCTGTGTAGGCAGCCTGGCAGCAGCTGGGGAATGCAAACTCCAATGAAGAAAAAGAAAAAGAAAAAGAAAAAGAAAAAGAAAAAGAAAAGGTGGCAAGCCTGATCTTTTTTTGCTTTTCCCCTGGAGCTTGCCTGCCAGCCTGAGCTGCTCAAGCACCTGGTCCTTCCCTCCATGGCTTTTAGTGCCCTGCAGGACCACCTAATCCAGGTGCCTGCAGGTGACAGCCCTCTGGGGGGGCCTCCGCTGCTGTGGAGGGAAGCACCAACCCCTCCCTTCCTCCCCCCCC